GGCCTAAAAAAATGTTTTTAATTGTGTACCAGTTTAACGTTGAATATTATTCATTATTTTAACTTTATACACAAGTGCCAAAATACTATAAGAGGTGGTGTTTCATGATTCTATAGTGTCATTTTCCATTGCTATTGCCATTAATTAAAAACATGCTTGTGGTAGTACTTTTGGCCATGGCCGTAGAGGCGTTATATTTTATATTATAAATTACGTTTGTTTTGAATTGTAGCAACTTCGTGACAATTGAACTTTGAAGCTGGAAAAGCACTTATGTGGCACACAGTTTTAATCGTTTCTTCACCTTTTCCAACAAAATTAACTGTAAATTGAAACTTGAAAGACTAGCTTTCAGAATATGCAATTAAATTTAAATCAGTCCTTCACTTTCATTTTAAAAACATTTCACTTTTTCTTCAATAATCCAAGATTTATCAGGAAATGGAATTGACAATGACAAAGATATATAATTTTGTATAGCTCATTGCAACAGCCTCATAGGCTAATATATATGACAAATGCTATTTGAAACCAAACAAAAATATATTTGGGTGAAAAATGCTTAAACTTACCAGACATGCCTAATTTCTTGTACTAGTAACTTTGCCATGTTCTCCTCTTTAAAGGTTAACATATACAAATAGAGGGCAATATAAGTTGAGAAAGCTTTTTGTGAAAGATGGTAAGCTTCTCTCGGAATTACATGTTCAGCTTAGAAAAATGTTAGCTTTCAAGCTTCAGAAATTTTAGAATACAACTGACAATGTTCAAATGACTGAGTAGGGGTAATAATTTTTGTACTATCAGTCAGATGTTTGCCATAACTATCATAACATATTTTGGCATTGTCTATTGCCCTCGAGTTACTACTCATAACATATTTTGATTTTAGGGGTGTAAAAAACAATCTGTTTTTGGGGACAGGTGTTTCCTTGGCTTTCCAGATACTATTAATGACAAACATTTCAGCAGCAGTGGTGATAACCTTTATATTTTGTACAATAACAACCTTGTAGTAGGAAGCTATGGAATGCCTTCAACTAATCTTTGATCATCCCTAATGTGTTGCCATGCAATAAGTGCTGCTGCTTTTATTCTTTTCGTCCAATTATGCCAATTCATTTGCTATCTCTGTGTCTTTGTAGTTTGCCCTGTGGTTACTACAGTAGAATACTATAATACACAAGGATGCACAGTAATAATTTCTTTGACAAAACTGGATTTACTTTTCAATGTATTTCTTTAATCATTTTCTTATTTTGTCAGTTTTTATGAAACAGCCATATATTTAATAATTTTATTACTTTGTGACAGAGATGTTTAGATGCATTCATACGAGTCCTTTGAATAAGCAGTTGCTTTTGCCAGCTTCATTGTGCCTTTCAACTTTTCCAGTGCTTTCTTGTGTTCACGAGTTATCAAATCTTCACTGGCCATCAAATCAATGTGTTCTGCATTCTCTTTTATACAATTTTCATCAGTTTTAGGCAGACATTTTACAAGTTTTGGTATAGTTTCTTTGGCATTAATATGCTCTTTGCCACAGAACAGATAACGATCACATGGAAGAAGTATTGATGTTTAAGTACATGAGTAGTGTTTTGTTTCAAGATGCTAGACTGATCAACTCATCAGACTCTTAACCAGAAGTCCTTTTCTATGAGAGATATTTGTGAAATTTCAGAAGCTTCAACTGTGACTATTATGCTTTAAAGTGTTTTGACTCTTTGGAACATATATGGCATGTTTCATATTTTGTATTCTTGTGTCAGGTTTCCTTTTCTCATATTTACAAATTCCATTAGATAGAGGTCAGGAAGTATGTTTACACAAGTGTCATATTTCTTAAAGAAATGTATGATACATTGCCATCCATGTTACAAAGATACATATTGACATCAACTCTTTTGATTTGGATATGCTTTTCCTTTCAATTTTTGTAATGAAATGGAGTGTTCTTTAGATGATATTGGTTTCTTTCAGATAGAGAAAAATTAAAGGGTTATATCACCAATATTTTACACTATCAGTAACATTAATATATAGAATAAGGTGGATGCTATATGACAGGTTTGACAAGCAAGGTAAAAATTAATGATTGTTAGGTAGATAGAACAGGGTAGTTTCTGATGCCTTACTCGATTATCTGTTGATTATCGTTATTCCGATACGGGACTTACGTTCTCTCACAAAATTAGTTATTCTTGTTCAGTGCTGCTCTCTATATGCAATTGTTTTCTTTACACATGTCACAAGTGTTTTGCTCCCTCCTATTGGAATTGAAAGATTTCAACTTGTCTCTCATGCAAATCATCATGCATACTTCTCCACCAATAGGAGCATGACATGCTCACGTGATGCATGTGACCCCCTCTATACTCCTCTACCAAAATATCCCTTCTCATTTTGCTGTGCTTGGGTTTGGACATGCTTCTTCTTTGTTTAAAGATATGCATTTGGCTTAAGTTTAATCACAAAGTGGTTTTCTTTAATTTATTTCAGACAGTTTCTTCACTTTAAATTTTTATCAGTTAGTTCCAGTCACAATATTATTTTTCACTGCTTGAATTTGGTGGACTCTTCTTCACAGTGAATTCTGAAGTTCATGTTTCCACTTTGGGGTCACACCAGCAACTAGCATTCTTTCTCAGGCTTCAGGTATGGGTGACCCAGCAGTAGATTTGTCCACCAGGAGATCAAACATTACATGGGCCAACATTTGTTCAGACTGATGAGGACTTGGATCATCTGTTTCTTCCTCCTGGTTTTGCTGTACCTTCCCATCCCCTGCCTGAGGTATCAGTTAGGCCTAACACAGTCTTTTTGGATTTTGTTTTTCAGGTATGTGACATTTTATCCATTTCTCCTTATGTGCCACTTCCTTCCTTACTACAAGACCAATCTTCCCACCTCATTTTGTTTTTCCTTCCTCCCCTGATATAATCGGGCTCATGCTGATCAATTTGCCTTGCAAATAAACAACGGGATTAGCAAGCACTACCAGTAACTACCAAGTGGGTTCTGGTTTGGTGAGAACTCGGCTAGCCGATTTTCTTCATTGCTGGCATTCATTTGTCCAGGATCAATGGGTTTTTCACATTTTATCAGAAGGATTCGTGATCCCCTTTTCTTTCTTCAGCTTCCATATCTCCTTTCCCCATTTCCTTCCTTCCTCCCCAGGATCCCATGACCAGCCAGTGTCTGTTGGAAGCAGTTCGGGAATTGCTATCTCAGCAGGCCATCGAACCTGTTCGCCATCCTTCAACAGGTTTGTATTCCTGACTTTATGTTGTTTCCAAGAAAAACGGGGACTGGAAGCCAGTCATAGATTTATCTTGCCTCAACCGATTCATTCACCTGTCCCAGTTTACCATAGAGTCTTTTCTCACCCTGAGATAGGGATTTTCTCAGGGTTTATGGATGACCAAAATGGATGTGGGCAGTGCTTATATCCATATACCTATATCACATCGGTCTCGTCCTTATCTTAAGTTTCTCCATCTCAGGGTGGTTTATCAATTTTGAGCCCTACCATTAGGGCTTGCTTCAGCCCCTTGTGTTTTTTGTTGGGTTGTCTGAGCATTTGCTTGACATCTTCATGGTCTGAGGTTGAATTTTCATCTGGCTCATTCCAAACCAGAGTCAACCAGCCGTACTTGGCAGCTCCTTTTAGTGGCTGATTGAGTGGGTTGGTTAATCAAATGGGAGAAGTTTTGTTCCACTTGGGGCTCATTTTCGACACTTGTATCTGTCAGGCCCAGTTTTCTTCTTTAAGGCTTCATTCTATGGAATGGTTAGTTTGCCAAACCCTTTCGATTCCATCACTTACTGCTCACGAGGTTCTATCGCTTTTGGGTATGTGGTCTTCGATGACTTGTCCTCCCAGTCGTGCTTATATGAGATCCCTTTAGTGGGCTCTTCACGATCAATGGAACCTGGTGCAGGATCCTTTTTCTACTCCCATTACTCTTCCTCTTAACCTGCGAGTCAATCTCCTTTGGTAGTTGGACAAGGCACAAACATCAGCAGGCATGCAACTTCCTCTCCGCATCTGGATCTACATCTTTTAATGGATGCATCCCGAGAAAGGCTGAGTGAATGGGTCAACTACCAGGAATCTTTGGGCTGTTGGTTTGTGGAGGAAAGTGCTTTAAATATCAGCATTCTCGAACCTCTAGCTGTACTTTGGGCATTGAATCACTTCTTGTTCTCGCCCAATATTGTATGGTGATGGTTCATTTTGACAATTCAGTAGTGGCTATGTGTTTGGATGTTGAATTTCTTATACTGGGCCTACACACAATTCATCTCATTGCGTGTCCTTCAGCCAAGAATGGTTCCACAAATATCTTTATGTTTATCCTCCTATCTGATTGCTCCTTATTGGCCAGCTCAGGCATGGTTTCCATGGTTACAGCACCTGCTACTCTCCCCTCCTGTTCCTCTTCCATCGTCTCCCTACCTTCTTCGTCAATCTTGGGTGCTGGTCCTACATCCCGCCATTCATGTCCTGCATCTTCACGCCTGGCTTTTATTTAGTTCTTTGAGTCATTTTTTTTTTAGCTGGTTAAATACATTCTTATTCCATGGATATGTATAAGCACAAGTGGAAGGTGTTCTGCAGTTGGTCTACAACTAGAGGATTTCCTGCTGACTAACCTACTGAGTCTCGGGTAGCAGATTTTCTCACTTCGTTTTTTGACTGGGGGTCCTTGGTCTCACGTTATCAGGCAGCTTTATCCCATGCCTTCCATTTTTCCTGATACTGTAGCATTTTTACTTCACCTGTCCTTACCATGCTACTGCATGCCTTCTGGTTCCGCTGCCCTTCTAGGTGACTTACCCTTCCAGATTGGGATGTTAATGTGGTACTCCATTCCCTTACTTTACCTCCATTTGAACCACTTTCCTCATGTTCCATGTTTCACTTTTCCCTTAAGGCATATTTCCTTCCCGTTTAGCCTGTGGATGTCGGTGGTCAGATTTGTTTGCCATTGACATTTCATGTACACTTTGTCACCCTGCCTATCTTCTCCTTTATCCAGATTGTTCCTTCCTCCCAAAGACCTCTGTGGCTTGGGAGGGTAGCTCCTTCTTTTTGCCTGTTCCCCTTCCTTCCATTTCTCATCTTTACCCTTGACCGAATCCGGATAGGCTTCTGTGTCTGATCAGGGCTCTTCGTTGTTATATTACCCGTAGGGCATCCTTCTGTTGTACCCATTTCCGACTCATTATCCCCTGGCATTCTTCCTCTCTTCATGATATTTCATTTTGAACCTTCACTAATTGGGTCTGACTTTTGATACAATTTGCTTACTCCTCCTTGCCTTCTTCTTCCTACAAGTTGTTCTGGGTGTGTTCTCATCAGATTAGACACCTCACCTTTTCCCTTGCTTCTCCTCTTCATCGTCTATTGGAGGAAATTCTACTATCAGGCATGTGGACCACACTCAATACATTCGTCTCCCATTATCTACATCATATCACGGTTTCTTCTTCATCGGGTTTTTGTCTTCCACCATTGGCCATTCTTCAGGCTTTGGTGCAACTTTGATAAGTTTCAATTCATACTTTCTTTTCAGAGGTCTTTTCCTTTCCTCATTATATGGATCCCACTCTGTGGCGTGTGGTGCCTGACCAGGTATTCTTTAACTAGAAATCTGTACTGTACAGCCATGTTGACTTGTGCTTTATATTCCATGGATTGCAATGCTCAGCATTGAGATGGGATGTTCCACAAGATCATTTGTAGGTGAATAACCTCACATATTTTGTTTCATAAACATGCATGTCCTGGACCTTCCACCCATGGACTGTATGCGTAAAGCAGAATGGGATAGCTGCCCATTCCTGCCATGCCTATAGTGAATAGCTTGATATAGTCTGCTTTACAAAATAGGGTTTTGTGGTCACTGCCTTTTCACCCTCCTTTCTTCTAGTGGAGTATGGGAGTCCTTACCACTTTCCAGTTCCAAGCCACTGAGGTGGTGAACCATGGAGGCATCCTCCTGAATGGGTTCCACACAAAGATAGCTATAACAATTCAGTGCAAAGTAAGGAAGAGGTGTTCCGTGGGTGTAGATGATGTACTGTCCTCCACTTTGCAATATACAATTATGAAGGAATGATATGTCAAAATGCAGTTCATCCCTTTGATTGGGAGCCCTCTTCCTACCACTATGCGGATGTTGATACCCCACAGCTTGGTTTTGGATTTCGAGTAGAACCAGTAAACATAAGTCCTCACACATGTTTTGGGTTGTCTATCTTCCTTCTTGATTTTCCTCCTTCTGTATTGTGGGTCACAAAAGTAGTACAAGGGATTGTTACAGTTCTGTTCTTTGACTCTCCCTCATCCTATCTTAATATGAGGATGTTATTGCCTTTTGGATGGTTCCACTAAGTTTCCCAGTTGGGGGAGTTTATTGCATACTATAGACATCCTTTTGATACTTGATGTTGGGTCCCTGGATTGATAGCTCAATTCTAATACTCGTGTCATACCTGGGAGATGGTGTGATTCTCAATCTGCCTGGTCTTTTGGGTTTGGGATGAAGATGGTATGATCCTTATCCTACCCCCATGTGGATTTCAGTTCCCAGTGACATGGTTTTTGGATGTAGTTGACTTACTGAGTACAGTCTTTAATGCCCTAGCCATTCTACTCCTGAGGGCACATCCATTGTTTTACCCATGTTTCTATTCATGTAATTTATATTTACTTTATATGGTTAAGATCATGATCCTGACACAGTTCTCTACCACTTAGATGTGCTCCTCTCCTTTTCCACATTTCACAGATGCGTGAAGAATATACCTGGTTCAGAAGTGGTGTGGTTCCAATCATCTGATCTACAGATCTGACTCTTTCATTTCTAGGGGTAGCCTTCTGACACTTTCAAGAGGTACTTCTATCATTCTCTCCTCCTATTCAGTGTGGAATTAATTTTATAGTGGAGATAAGTGCCATATCAGAAACTATAATTTTCCTACACTGAAAATATGTTTCTGTTAGGTACTTACCTCCTGTCAAACTTCTTGCCCACTTTCCTCCAGTGCTTAAATTTTCTGCCAAACTTTAAAGTGCTAGTGAGGGAGTTGCATGCACCACATCAGCATGTCATGCTCCTATTGATGAAGAAATGACTCATGATGATTTGCATGAGAGACACGTTGAAATATTTCAATTCCAATAGGGGGGGAGCAGAAGGCTTGTGGCATGTGTAAAGAAAATGTTTTCATATAGAGGGCAGCAATGAATGAGAATAACTAATTTTTTGAGCAGAGGTAAATATCTAAGAGAAATACATTTTCATTACAGGGAAATTATAACTTCAAATAATTTAATTGTAATAAACACAATGAAGTTTCAAAGTTATAATACCCCTCATGAAATGCCAAGTAAAAACATTATTATGCTACTGTGATGCTGTAGTTCACAGTAAGAAAACATTTTGAAATATCATGTGACACTCACAGTTTTAGAGACTGAGCCATATAAAAATTGACAACCACTACAATTATCTATAGCTTCTTTTTAAGCTCATTTTTCTGTGAGCCTGTAGTAGCCAAACTTTTCATGACCATTTTTGACAAATGTTTCAATGGCTAAAGTGCAAACATCTAAATTTGGAAAAGTGGCATGATAGATCTTTGAAAATACTTTGCCTTACAAGTTAGGAGAGAGGAGGGAGAGTTGCAGAGGACCTGTGATTTATTACTTTAGACCTGACACTTTTGTCATATAATGCATATAGAATGTCATACTGAAGTATTATTACTCATCTGCTTAAAAAAAGGAATGGTTTACTGAAGCAAAATTGGCCATATAGTTGGTTAGCTTGATGTTTCGGAGATGTTTGTAGTGTTAATGTTTGTTTGAATTTTCTCAGAAATTGCCTGTAGTTTTTGTAGCTGAAGTAACCACTAATTTCACACTTCTATAGCTAGTAGATAGGTATATTCAGGGAATTGTTTTATATTTCCATGCAGTTATGCGTATAGTTATGGCTTTTATGTATACTGGATGTCAAAAGTTGTAATCGTGCTAATCCTTATACACAGGTAAAGATTACATAGTGCAACTTAACTCTCAGCTAGCATGTATGCCTTTCTGTGTGAACTTTCTATGAAAGTAGCCTATTCAAACAAATGATTCAGAAAACTAAAAGTTTGTTTGGAACAATTTGAATTATGTATGTAGACATGTAGCCGAAGTATGTGACTGAATGACTTATGGGATACCACATTACAGTTTTGCCTGACTATAAAAGTGGAGTATTTACACATATTAAGGTATCTTGATCATGGAAAGACTACTCTTCACCCTAGCAGTCAGTACAAGCTTACCATATTGGTAACAAACACAGATATCATTGCAAATAAAGATTTAATTATTGTTCCCATCCTTTACATGTTGAACTTATTCGATACATAACTTTTTGTGAATCTGTACTTTTGCAGAAACCTTACCACCAGTTGGATGTCATTGTACCTAAGTACCACATTTTAAATTAACTCATTGTTCAAGTTTTCTTAGTTATTCTTAATATATTTTTAATCATGCAAATTATTAAACAGCTTTGTGCTGCCTTAGAATTCATTGCATTGAGTATTTTATGAAAGTTTTATTTAAGGTTTGCTTATGTATAATTTTGATATTATCTTAGATTTAACAATCTAATATTTATACTATATACCAATCTTGTCTGTCTGCCAAGTCCACTGGTGAGCGAGGCATGTTATGATGCGTGGCAGTGAAAGCCACAATGAAGCTGTTGCGCTAATGTCGCTGGACTCGCCCAGAGGACTTGTCCCGAGTGCTTGTGTATGCATGGCTTAGATTCTGTGACCCCGCCT